TTTTCCAGTTGTCGGGAAATTTTTTTCCAGTTGTCGGGAAATTTTTTTCCAGTTGTCGGGAAGAACTTTTTCCTGTCGGAAGGAAGGACTTTTCTTGTCGGAAGGAAGGACTCGGAATGCCAGAAGGATTTGACAAGCCAATTTACCTTATAGAGCTACCTGAGCCATCTGAAGTCAAGACCAAAAATAAATGGTTCATCTACTCTACTTGTTTGAAGTTGTCAAAATACTCTGTTATTTTTTCCTTTAACAATGGTAAATCTTCTTTGAAGGTAAGTATTGTACAACCTTTAATATCATAGTGTGTTTGAGGTAACGTATCTTGAACTATTTGTTTCACATCTTCATTTGGTGTCATTGAAATCGGTAAGTTTTCGCGATAGAACCAATTTCTGTCAGATTTGTAAATCTTAGCAAGGTCGTAAAAGCTTTTGTTGTTTCTTCTGACTAAATGCAACATAACCATATCTCTGTCTTCTTCATTTTCCATCTCTTCAGTATAAATCATATACTTATAGTTCTTTTCCTTTCCTTTTGGTACCGAACGTGGTATTCTTTTCTGAATGCTTTTGTCTTTTGCTTCAATGACTTCATCTTTTGCTTCAAGCTTGTTTTCCATCTCTTCACGTTCTTGTCTATGAATTTCATCTAACATCATGAAAATATAACAAGCATAGCGAGGTGACGCCCACATTGCAACAGCATTTACAAGAAGTCTATGTACATAATATCCTTTCAAACCAGGAGCCAAATTCTTGCGATTTTCGTACGGAATCTCTACCCTCGGTTTTCCGAGGGTAGCAAACATATGAGGAAATTCTTCTAAAAGTTCTTTTGTCTGTTGGTTTTCAAACCAATGGTATGCTTGCTTTGTAGAACGAAGAGTATTCAAAATACTTTGCATTTGGTACATGTCATCTTTGACCGAACGAATGAGACGGAGTTGTTTGTTAAACTGAACCCACTCATATTCTTCATTTATAGCTTCATGAACGATAGCAGTTGTTGTGTTCTCTGTTGTTGACATATCTGTCTTTATATTCCGGATAAAAAAATAAAAAAAAATAAAATTAGCGTTATTTTCTATCTTAAGGAAATTCACGAATTTCATCGTAAATGTTTTGTCACCTCTTGAATTTTCATGATTTCTTCGTAAATGTTTTGTCAAGACTTCTTCGTAATGAGCGTAAATCAGACAAAAATATATTTTAGGGTAGAAGGGTATATCTACCCCGTTTTCTACCCTCATTTCTACCCCATATGTCCTTACTGAAAAAGTATGTGTTCCATATGTCATTTTACTCAGAATTTTACTCAGAATTTTATACAGAATTCAATAAAAATATATTTTAGGGTAGAAGGGTATATCTACCCCGTTTTCTACCCTCATTTCTACCATAACTATTTACAAGCGTTTTACATGGTATATGTTGTGATGGTTCATGACTTTAAACAGTTTTGTAGCTTCTATTTCTTCACGAAGGATATCAAAAGTTTTAACTATGCCGAAAGTTTCTTTATATTTCTTCTTGACATCAGATAGAAGGAAATCGTTAGCAGTTGGATAGTTTTTGTTCAGAAATGTCAACATGTCCATTTTATCTTCTGCTGGTTTCTCTACTTCTTTCTTTAAGTCAGTATGGTCTTTTCTCATTCTTTCTATCTCTTTGACGGAGTAGTTATATTTCCTTGTTGCTGCTTTACATTTTGAACATTGTGAGTTCATTTTTGCGTTATATTCTGAAATTTGTCCTGCTAAAACAACCAAGGCGTCAATGGTCTTCTTTAACTCAAAGGCTGCTGGTTTTATCTGTTGGTTCCATACCTTACCTCTTCTATCTTTATCTCTTATCTGCCATACACATTTTGCAACTAACGAAACAAAGTTGTCGTAGGTCTTAAACTCTTCAGATTTATATATGTCAATGAAATATACCATATCGCAGTCTTTGTGGTTGTAATGAAATCCAAGAAACTCATAGTTTACATTACGTATGAACTTCTTGGTTTCTACTGAGTCAGATGGTTTCACTTCTATTTCATCGAATTCTGGAATAGTAAGCTTTTGTTGTTGTATTTCAGGCAATTTGGGTAAATGTTCCACCAGGTCCTGCATTTCATAAAGATACTGTTCATTTGTTTCATCTTTCGCACTACAGTCTAAATCTCCTTGGAGAAGTTCTTGCTTTATCTTCTGGATTTCTGTTTCGAAAGTATATGAAGAAGGAATGAAGCTTTTCATCTCTACTAACATAGAAGTTGGGTTCATGACTAACGAGTTTGGTGCTGTTGTTGCTGACATGTTCTTACAATAAAAATAAAAAAATATTTTTTGGTGGGACTACCTTTATTTTATTTCAGCACAAAATGAACGAGTTTGGTTTAAAAATACGGTGGAGCCAAAAATGGCTCGACCTCAAAACAAGCATTTTGTGAAGAATATACCAACCCGCGGAAAACGGCGGGTTGCTTTTTTTATACAAAATTCAAGAGTTTTGTGTGTTTTCTACGAGGGTAGAAAACGGGGTAGAAAACGGGGTAGATATACCCTTCTACCCTAAAATATATTTTTGTCGAAAAAAAATGGTTCATTTACTCACAATATTTTTGTACAAAACGACCCCAAACTTTTAACTTCTTTTCTGCAGCTTCTAATGCTATCTTAGCGAGTTCATATTCTCTAAATTCTCTCTTTAAATCTTCTTGTTCCCATTGGTCTAGTTCGTATGGAGAATCTCTATAACCAGAACATATCTCACGTTCATGTTCTATTTGTTTTTCATGCATTTTTCTAACTTCTTCTTCAAACAAAGGTTTTGCATTCTCTACTGTATCTTCAAGTTCTTCTTCATCTAACTTCTCATGAACTTTCTTGTCTATGGAGTCCATAATTTTTCCAACTGCTATACAATATTTTGGAGAAGCCCACATTGCAATATAGTTTACGAGTCTTGGGTCTACATACATTCCTCTAACCTGTTTGATTTCATCCGGAATTCCTGCATGAACTTTGTATAAAAAGCAACCCGCCGGAATTCCGGCGGTTGGTATATTCTTCACAAAATGCCTTAAAATACTCTTCCCAGGACTTATTTTCCAACAACTTTCTAAAGTCTTTCCTAAACTGCTGACACATATTTGTTACATTTATATAACCATCCTTGTCTCTACGTAAGACTTCAATACCGTTGTAAGTGCCTTTTGTGAATGTTTCGCCATTAGATTTGTTCGTGAACGTTTTTGCTTCGACTGTCATACTGTTCTTACAATAAAAATAAAAAATATTTTTTGGTGGGACGTCGGACATTCGTTTGTGGCTTAACCGTCGGACATTCGTTTGTGGCTTAACCTCAAAACAAGCATTTTGTGAAGAATATACCAACCGCCGGAATTCCGCGGGTTGCTTTTTTATACAAAATTCAACGGGTGAAAGAATACGAAGAAGTCTATTTCCTGGACTGTTGTCAAAATGTCATGTTGTCACACTTTTTCAACCTGAAGCATTTTATATATGTAAAAATATACTGTTTTAAAAATGTTTTAAAATGGTATGCCATATAGCTTCTTGAATTTGTTAAGATATAGTCTAACTTTTTTTCCATCTGTATCTCTAGCGTTTACATAAGCACAGCCCGTCTTAGTAAAACATACTTGTAATTTTCTATAGTTTACGCCGGTATAAAGGTAGAAAGAGTCCTGTTCTTCGCTATAGTAGTAAAACTCAAACGTATGCTCGCCATAGTCTGTAATTTCAATTGCTTCGTCTTCTAGTTCGTCGACAAATTCGAATACTATATCTCGAAATTTGCCTCTGTTCTTACTGTTTTCAGAACAAGTGACCCAACGTAAATTTTCAAGTCTATTGTCATTTCTTATATGGTTTATATGGTCTACAAAAGGTAGATTGTTAGGATTCGGTATAAAATGAGTTGCAATGACAACATGTTTTAAATAGTGTTTTCCACCAATCCTCATCCTAGCATATCCGTTATTTTGCTCCCATTCGCTTAAAACTCTTTTTGTCTCTTTGTTTCTGACTTCAAATGACTCACAACAGTGAATTTCATATTTCTCATCTAACAAACAAGTTTCCCAACGGTCCTCTCCAACAAACTCAGCGTACATTTCAAATAAAATAAAAAAATATTTTTTTTAAAAAATGTTTTATTTCATGCAATGTTTTACTTCATGCAATGTTTTATTTCTGTGCCGTCTTCAAGTATGCCCCAATACTTACGCTTGGAGAGGACATGAACTTCGGAAAATACCTTATCTAGCTTAAAACAGCCCATCTTTTCACCAACTAAACCCATTTCAATGAGTTTGTTGTACCCTTCTTCGTTCGTCATGAGTGCGTCGATGTTCTCATAGTAAACCTTGACTTTGGATTTGACTTCGGAGAAGAATTTGTTGTACTCGTCAAGGACTGCCTTTGCGAACTGAGGATAAGACCAATGTTCGACAATAGGTTTTAATGTGGTTACTAAGCCACTTTCACCTTCGGTAAATTCGTATTTCAAAACAAAAGGAGAAAACCTTTCAACAAAGTTGTCGACCTTCTCATAGTGTTTACTCTTCATCTTTTGAGGTTTCTTAATGGAATATCCCCATGTCGAATTCATAAGCAATTTGATTGTCATTGCAAGTTTGGGGTTTGAAGCTTTCCTAATATCATAGAGTTGTTGTATGACTTTTCCAACTGTATAGTTCCTTCCTGGGAACTCACCGTCTTCGTTTGGAATTCCAGTCGGGATATATTGGACGAACCTCATGTACGCAGCGTTAAGGTCGACATAGTATATTTTTTCATATGAGTCGAACTTGTCGCATCCAATCGGACCAGTTTTTGGAAATTCAAGCGAGTCTCTTATCTTCTGAGAAACTTCTCCTGTTATCTCATAAACATCGTCGAAGCAACCTGTTTCATATAAAACCTTCTGACCTAACTCTGATGCTCTCCAATACAATTTGACGTCGACTGGATGTCTCAATGGAAGTTTGTTTATAGCATCTTGAAGTTCTTGCAACCTCATTGGAAGTTCTTCTGGTTCAGGTTGGTATCCGAACAATCCAACTCCTTTTGGAACTGTGTACTTCTTTTGTACTAGAACTTTGTCTGGAACAACTTTTGGTCTTGCTAACAGTGAAAAGTTTGTTTCGTCTTTTGGTACAAAACTTTCTGTCAGCTTGTCATCTGGAATCGGTTCCAACAAACCTTTCTCGAAAAGAATGTTAACAGCTCTGACAATGTTGCACTTGCCTTTTCCGAACATAAGACTTTCGTTCAACATGAAGTGGTTGTGGACAATTACAATCTTCAACCATGGTAAGTCTTTGTCAACAACATAGTCGTCATGTGAAGAACCTTTCTCAGTCGGAATGTTGACTCGGATATTGACATTTGCCAACGGTGCAATTTTAGCCAATTGACCTCTGAGAATGTACCTTGTCTTCACACATGACTCAAGATACTTCATCTTCTCTTCTGTAACAAGACCAGAGTTCCTGAGACATGTAAGAATACAAGGTTCGTTGACAATTTTTTCAATTGAATTGTAAATTCCATACCTTGTCAAGTCAATGTCAGACTTATTTCTGAACGGGAAGTATCCAGCATGTTGTCTGACTGCTTGAGGGTTGGGTTGGTACCATTCAAACTTCACGCTTGCAATTCCTTCAATCGCATTCAAAATATCTGAGTCGGAGTCAAACATTTGTTCTCTCTTTGTAGTCTTGAAAGCGTCAAGAAGTTGTGCGGCTGTTGTGACATTGCCATGCGCATAGTATATATGACCGTCCAAATCTGTTACGGTTAATCTCAGGTTGTGTCCTTTCTTATTTCCGTCTTGAATTGCAGCAAGTACACCCATGAAGCCTTCTTTGTTCTTTCCTTCGTCAAAGTTTACTGTAAAGGTTCGACCTGAACCAATTTTACTTCTAACCTCGCGATACTTTTCATATGCATATCTTGTTCTTTCCATGGGGGCATGTGCGTCTTCACCTTTTCCTTTTTTCCTCCTCAAAGGATGCAATTGTTCGTCATGTTTCCAGTAAAATCTGGCAAAGCCGTCGTGTCCTTCAACTTGAGGTTCATTAACATTGAAAGGCATGTCCATAAGCCGTTCTTCTTCTAACCTCTCAAGTCTGTTTGGATAATTGGCGCGCGCTGTTTCTAAGTCCATCTCGTAGGTCAGACCAGCCAGTTTGTCATAGACTTTTATGGGTCTTCCCTTCCTATATTTAAACTTCTTTGAAACTCTCCAGCCATATCTTTCTAACTCTGCTTTTATTCTAGCAGACCTTCTATCCATTCTATGCGGTGGCATTTCTATAAAAATAAAAAAATATTTTTTTTCTTTACTTTACGTAACCACCGGCTGCCATAAGTCTTTGACGCCAACCCATACCAGCTAATGAAGGTTGACTTGGTTTAGTTTGGAAACTAAACTTTGGTTTTGGTTTATCTTCAGTTTTTGGCTCACCTTCTTCTATCTGTTTTTCGTCACTTTTCGGTTCATCTGACTTTACTTCACTTGCAGGTATGGTTGTGTCGTCAACATCTTCGTAAATATCATATGCCATCTGTTTTTGTTTTCCTTTCAACTTTTTGTGTTTGTTGTAAAGTTTAGAATATTTCGACTCTAAGTCAATGAGATGTTCTATAATGAACTGTTCGTCGGTAAAATATACTTTTCCATCTGTTGTCTCTTTAACTCCTTCAGACTTCAATATTTTATTTGTGAGAGTCTGTTTCTTTTTTGAGATACTAGCCGTTCCATTTCTATGAAAAGTGACTTTGTAGTTAGGGTTTGTATTTCCAGACCTGGCACTTTCTATTATTGAATTTTTTCTTCATATCTGTAAGTTCTTTGACAGGTTTTGACAATGGTTCTGAACTTTTTGTTTGTGGTGTCAAATCTACCGTTTCAACTTCTTCGGTCATTTCATCTCAGTAAAAATTTTAGTTTGGTTTGTTTTCAACTGGTTGTTTAGGTTTTTTAAGTCGGTCTAAAACTTCCTGAGGTATAGGAAGAACTTGACAAACACGTGGTGGTGTAACTGCTGGAAGTCGACAAATCCATCTTGAACCCATTTGTCTCAATGCTGTATTGTTCATTTCATCTCAGTAAAAAAATTTACATTCCCCACGTTTGAGGCGGTTGAGGTTGGTTATTGTTTACCCACTGTTGTGCATGGTTATATCCTCTGTTAAAGAATCTTTCACCTTGGTCCATATAGTGTCCTGCTTGGTTATAGTAGTCATTTGCTTTGTTATAGTAGTTTCCTGCTTGTGTTCTTACATTGTCCATCCAGCCTTGAACTTTTCCTCTTGTTTCAGGATTTGGAATAAGATTTGCTGCATCTCGTGCTACATCCCAACCTTTCTGTACGGTTTGTATAATAGGTTGTGCTTTCTCTTTCAGTATACCTAAAGTACTCAAAATCTTCCTTCCAATTCCAAATGCACCTCTAGCTATTGTTCCCACTGCGGGCAAAAATCTGGATGCAACTCCTGCTAATGCGCCAAATAAACCCATTTCTTATGGGTTAAAAAATGACGAATCCAAACAAGGACCCCTATGTTTCTAAAGCGACAAAGAAAGCACTCATGGTAAAAATCTTTAGTTCAACACCAAATGCTTGGTTTATGGATATCTTGGAAAACATTCCGAGGTATAGAGAAGATGGACCACCATACTGGCTAATATTTGTCGGTCAAAACACAAGATACTGTGAAGCCATACCATTACAGTCCAAAAATATTTTAGATGTGAAAACTGCTTTGACAATATTCGTTGACAAATACCATCCAACAAAACTGACATCTGACTGTGAAAGTTCTTTCAAATCAGACGATATTAAAAACTATCTGCGTTCAAAAAATGTAAACCAATATTTCATTGTCGACCAAAACCATTCTGCTCTTGGTGTCATTGACAGTTGTATAAAAATCTTAAGAGACTTAAACCAACCACAAGGTGGTGAGGTAGATGAAATGTCATATGACGACAAATATAGACATTTCTCCATGGCAAAGATGAGACAAGTTTTAAATATTTACAATAGCCGTAAACAAAAAGGTTTGGGAAACCACTCCCCCGAAGAAATGAAAAACAACCCCGACTTAGAGAAAGACTATATATTTAATAGTTTAGTCAAAAGAGACAAACAAGAAAGAATGCCAGGCTTCAAACTTAAGAAAGGTGACAAAGTAAAAATAGAAATACCTAAACGCGACCCATATGAAAATACTATTGACTATGACAACAATGGGAACTCGACAGGTACTCGCATTCGTGTTCGTAAAAATAGAAGAAAGTATACAAGAGAATATTATGAAGTTTTAGGCAAACATGGCAAAATGTACAGACTGCAAGCAGAAGATAAAACTACTATTGTCAGACCTCGTTTCAAACTTGTTAAGGTTCAAGGTGGTATACTTTCAAAGACAGTTCCTAACAAATATAAGACAACTCCTGACGAATATGCTAAAGAAGTTGAAAATGACGACTAAGCAATTCTATACCATGCGTAAACTGTCATGTAAGGTGGCATGTAGTCTTTACTCTGTCCGTTGTTTGTGTATATCCTGAAACGAAATGTGTATGGTTTCCTTCTCCCTGAGTGTCATCCCAGTAACAATTTATAGCAAACTTAACGTCGTCTTTAACATCATATCCTTTACCTTTTGTCATTCCTGACCAATCCCAATATCTATGCTTATGCCAACCTGCTTGAGATGTACTTAAATCTATGTAGTGACTGTGTGCAGGTAAGTTTTCACCTGAAATCGTTTTACTTCCACCTGTTTCCTTTGAAGAGTTTGCACAATACAAAAACCTGTCGACTATTTGTTCCCATGCACCAACACCAAACGTTACTTGAGGACCTCTTGCTTCCATAGATGTATAAATAGAACCTACTGGGTTCATTAAATCAAACATATGAGATATTATAGGATTGTCTCTTTTGAACTTAAAATATAGTGCAACTATTTCAGGTTTCTTCTGGTTTGTGTTAGAATATTTTTTATAATATAATCTTATGTTTTCAGGGTAGGTAAAGTCTTGACTATAATATTTATTTCTGTCATCTTCATAATAGTATACTATTCTCGTTTTTTCTATTGCATTATATCTTTTATATCTATAAAAATCTAAATATAATGTTAGCTTTTGTTCATCTACATGTGGTGTTCTAACGTCATCTCCATAGTCATAATAGTATGGTGCTGGAGCTGGGTCAGGCAATGTCATATCTGTCATTTCATAAACTCTTAAATATTTCTTTTGTTCGTCTCCATAGAAGTTTAAGTAGCAGTTGTTGTCTAATGGAACTTTAACTTGTGTACCATCACTCTTTTTATAGCTTACATACATTTCATTGTTATTTTTCGGAATGAGTTTATACCGTGTACCATTTTCTAAGGACTGTACAAACTCCCATCTAAAATATTTGTTTTCTTCATAGACAGAAAAGTCACCAACCATAGTTTCAATATTTTTTGTTCCAACTAAACTTTGGTATATTTCATTGACATATGTTTTATCTGCTTTCTTTTCAAGGCTAACGTTTAAGTCTGTTATTTCAGAAGATGTATGTGTATGTCCAACGTCACTTTTCCTGTTTAAGGTTTCTTGTAAGTTTGTAATATTTGCAATGGTATGTGTATGTCCAACGTCACTTTTCCTGTTTAAGGTTTCTTGTAAGTTTGTAATATTTGCAATGGTATGTGTATGAGTCTTTTTAGAATATTCTTTGTCAGCTCTTGTCACTTCACTTGACATTTTATTGTCAACATATGTTTTATCTGCTAGTTCAGGATGAGTATGTTCTTTCGTTGCATATGTTGCATCTGCTCTGTCATGTTCTTCTTGAACTTTTTCAATGACATACTCTTTGTCAGCTTTGTTGTCAACATCTGCTTTCAAAAGAAGTTCTTTTATAGGCTTCTCGTTTAAAGTTCCTTTTGTTGGATTTATACAGACAGTATGGTTCTTACTGTCTTGAAATAGAAACTCGTCTGTCATTGGGTTTATTGTCAGTTTTAAGTTTCCTTCTTTCAATGACTCAGATATCTTAGAATAGTTTGAAAAGTTTGTTGTGTTCTTATTTAGAGCTTGCAAAATGAGTTGTCGGTTGTGTTTTATTTCTCTCATAGACGCTGTTTCTTTCGACATTTTTATTCTAGATAAAATATGCTTTCAATAGAAAAAGAAAATTCAAGAGTTGCTACAACTAAACCATTAGATGAACTTTTTACGAATGTAGGTCAAAAGTTTGAGACAGAGACCGTAAAGCATGAAGGCTATCGTTTTGACTACCCACTAAGATGGTTAAGAGACCCATCCGTCACAAAAGCTGTTGGCTTTCGTAGAATGAAGTTCATTTCAGAAGCCATACATGGTTTCCCATTTACGGTCGCTTTTGAAGTTCGATACTATAACAAAGAAAAACGTACGTATGAGAAATTTGAACAGGGAAAACTTTTACAAGTGAATTTGCTTGTAAACTTAGAAACAACTCTTCAAGCTTTTCAAGAAAAAATAAACGATATCTATCTCGAATATGCAAAACAGTACAACATTGACGAAGGAGAGTACCATCTCGATATTATATATGACAGGAAAAATGCAACTGTTAAATTCAATAGAATAGAAGACCTTGGAGAAGACGTTTATATTTCTACAAAATATAACAACTTGGCATGGTATAGATTTTTGAGGATGTTAAATCAGCCTGCAGAATATCCAGTACACCCGGACTATTATGAAGTCGAAAACCCTAATGGAACATATGAAAATGTTTTCGACCCAGATGCTATTATAGTTCATGCTTCATTTTCTGGTGCGCAAAACTCTTTTTTATGCTTGGCAAATGACTTTTACGAAAAACCTACAAAGCTATATGAACCACCGAGTGGAAGTATTTCAGACTTTCAAGTATGGTTTACTACAGATGGAAGAAAAAGAATAATTCCATTATACCATGCGTTTTACTTAGAACTTAGTTTCATATACAACTACTATCGAACGGTAAAAATATGATTTTTTAATACGGTTGAGGTGTTGGATTTGGTTGCCAACTAGACTGTGGTGCAGGTTCAGGCTGTTGTATAACAGGAGCTTGCTCTTCTGGTTCAGGGTCTTTAGGTATAATACCAACGAACTGACCTACTCTTTTGCCAATATTTTTGACTCCGTTCCAAATTCCTCTTCCTACGGTTTTTATTCCATTCCATATACCTCTTCCAACATTTCGAAAGAAGTTTCCTATTCTTCCAAAGAAACCCATTTTACTATATGTAAAAATCTAATGTCCACCTAGTCTCTTACGTTTCCTGTTGAGTTCCATAGCATTCTTTAACTGGAGCTCATACATTCTATTTCTCCTCTGGTAGAAAACATACTCTGGGTCAACTCCTGTGTTCGCGTCATCTGCATAGAGTTGTTTATATCCCACTTCGGGTTTGTATAAAACTCTTTCCATCTCATATTTGCATACCATGGTGGCAAACCTAACGCAGCGTCATTTGACATGGCAGTTTGCATTTGTACATCTGTTGGCACTTGACCATAGTTTGCCATTGCAGTTTGTATTCTAACTTCATTTGGAATATTCTCTGGGTTTGGTTGTCCAGGTTGCTGTGCATTCGCTAAGTTCTGTGCGTCCATTTAATATTAGATAAAAATATCTCTTACGAGTACATATGCTGAACATTTGCAGGCATTGGTTCATCTTCATATTCTCTATATCTTTCTGCCACGTCAAATAAGTAAATGACACAATGGAAAAAACCTAAAACAAGTAGTCCTATTTCAAACCACATTTACTTACTAGTAAAATTTCTTTGTTATGACACTTTCTCCAGTTTATAGGACCTCTCTCATATTCTATCTTATCGTATCTAAACTCATAGTCATGTATGTCCTCTAACCATCTCATGACACTTTCCAAACCCACTTTTATCGGATGTAAAGTAAAAGCATGGATGGTTATGTAAAACGTCTAAAGTTTCTAAAGAGTCTCTCAAAGTCCAGTCTACTTGGTATTGAAAATCCCATGTGTTATAGAACGGCGGGTCCACTATAAAGAAAACATTTTCCTTGTCTTTATATTTTTCATACAAATCTGTCCAATGACATCTCACAAACTCTATACCCTCAATATATTTTTCTATGTCCTCTTTGAAAACATTTGTATAGTTAAGATATAAAACTTTTGACATAAGTGTTTCAATGTCATGAACTCTTATAGCACCACTATATAATAGTCTAGCAGATATACTATCCCAGTCTATATATTCTGCTTTTTTCAAAACCTCTCTCACAGTATTTTTCTTATCTAATGGTATACGTTCCATCTTACCTATAGGTATCTTTTCTTTTAACTCTTTCAATATTTTGTTTGTGTCTGGTATATGTTTGAGACGGTTCATATAGTTGTCGAAGTCATTGCATATAATCTTTGAGTCAGGAAATATTGTATGGCACAAATGAGATATATAGAAACTTCCACCGAACAAGTCTACAAATGTTAGACCATTCGGTAGTTTCTTAAGTTCTCTCAATAGAATATCTTTACATCTACTCTTATTTCCAAAGAAGGGTAACGGTGGTTTTGTAAAATTCATTTTATATACAATAAAAATGTTTTTACCCTGAAAAGTGACAGAAAAGTGACAAAACATCTTCGGGGCTAGAGGGCACGAAGTGCCTGGAAGCCCCACTACCTTTTTTTTTTTTTTTTTTTTTTTTTTTTTTTTTTTTTTAGATTAATGAAAAGTTGAAATTTTTCCAATAAAATTTTATTAATGAAAAAAGATTCATGAAATACAATAATAGTAATATAGATATTTTATACAACATGTTATATAAGAGATCACTATAAATAGAATAGCTTTAAACAAAATAATCAAATCAAAATTTGTATCTGTAAACAGCAAGAGTGTTATATGCTAATATTATGTGTAACTACTCATTGGATAATGAATGCAATATAATACATTGATATATTGGCTAAAGAAAAAAAATTATATCCTTCAATTTGGACAATCCGAAATTTTTCTCATTTTTTTGAATTGCATATATATTAATTTGCAATTGAGTGATATCAGCGAGAAACTTATATGCACGTTTAACTTTATCAGATTTCAAATGAAAACATGGATTTCATTGATTGTTTTTCAATACGAGCTCAACAAAAATGATACAAAGATGAATAAGTAGTAGTGCCCCTAAAAACAAGGTAAAAAACAAAAAATTAGCAACAATATACTTAATTTCGGCCAATAGGGTGAAAAGTGAATATGTCAAAAACATTTATTCCATCATCTTGTTATCTGTACCTCACGACAGACGAATATAAAGAGATATCAATTTCCAAAATTTTACCAAAAAGAGATTAGGCCTAATTTTTACGGCCAATCTTTATTATTTGTTACACAGATGCTAGATCCACTACTCCTCAAAACAATTCATTTTTTGAATGGCCCTGTTTTTTAGGCCTTCATTTTATGAAAAATGCCAATATTATACGAATCTTAATATATTTATTTTTTTGTTCTCAATAAAGGTATTCAAAAGTCAATATAAACCATTCAAAATTGAGAGGAAACTCATTGAGAGGCTCGGAATTCGAGTAGTGAGGAAGGGTAAATTTTAAGAGCCAAAATTTCAAATACCCTCAATGTTTCAAAGCCCTTCTACTTAGATTTTGTGACTACCTTATAACCTTTATTTAAGTCCTAGTGATATTCTCCAGTATTTAAAGTTAGAAAACAGGTCAGGTAAGTGGGGCTTCCAGGCGCGTTGCGCCCTCTAGCCCCGGAGAAACTAGAGGAGGAATGATACAAAGACCAGATGAAAAAAATAAAAATATTATAATAAAATTAAATTTTTAGTCTTAAATTGTTTTTTTTATTCGGTATATTCTGAATCTTGAATGTCTTGGAAATTTTCTTCTTCTTCGCTCTCTGAGGTGAGGATTTCTTCGACTTCTTCTTCTTCGCTCTCTGAGGTGAGGATTTCTTCGACTTCTTCTTCGCCATTGGGAGCAACAAATCCTGCGATGAAAACTTTGTATATACCTTCTTGAGGAGTCTCTATGATGAAAGTCGTATTGTTGAGGAAATGGAACTCGACATCTTGAACAAATTGGCAACTGCTGTGTGTGAATTTTGCAATTGTGAGAGGCTTTCCTTTATAGCCCTTGGGAAAGCTTGAGATAGTTACTGTTCCTCCATATGGAACTCTGGCAGGAATATCTAAAGCAACAGTTGTTATAACGTGGAAATTGTCTAAGAATTGAGGCATAGGTTCAATGCAGTATAGTCGTTTTGACTGGTTGTCTTTTGTGTAGAAATATAAATAGAATGACCTTTCACCATATTCATTCAATTCTTCCAAATAATTGTATGAATTTGGATATAAACGGACAAATTCAGCAATTTTAACTTCTTGTAAATGCTTCTGCAAGTTCTTTGGAAACAAGTGAATGAACTGGTCAATAGCTTGCAACGCTATGAGATTGGCAGTAACGGGTAAATATGAAGCAAACATGTCAACAAGTACGCCAGGGTCTTTGATTTCGTTTTCAAGAGGCTGAATGGCATCCATGACAGCTTGAAACATCTCGTTATAATCTCGATTGTCTTCTGAACCCCACTGTTCATTTAACTTATCTAACAATTCTAACCTTTTCTTTGCGTATTTTCTACGAACTTTCTCTGAAAGAGGAGTGTCGCTATCTTGTGTGTCTTGAATTTGAGACTTAAATTGTTTGCTAAAGGCGAGATATCGTGTTTGCGACCTAGTGGTCATTGCAGAATGTTCGATTGGATGTGTTTCTGTATTTTCGGGTGGCTGTGTTTCTGTATGTTCGATTGGAGTCTGATTGGTATGAACTTCTTCTGAAAATGCTTCTGTTCCGATAGTTGTTGTTGCCTGACCTGTTGGCTGAGCTGTTTCTTTGTGCAAATGCATATTGTCCAACAATTTGTTTGCAATTGTATGAGGAAGTTGTTTTGGTATTATAGGAGGTCGTAAGGGTTTTGAGAATGGTGAGACATAAGTTGTAGGAACTTTAACTGCAGAGGTAGTCGACGAATTGTTTGCGACATTTTTTCTTCCTTCCATTATGAAAAATGAACTGTTTTTTTTTCGGACCACTCATAGAAAAGTTTGAAATAAACGGTTTTTGTCAACGGTAACCCCCTCTATTTTTTTATTTTATTTAATAGTTACCGTTGGCAAACCGTTCCATCTCAAATATTGAATGAACTATAAACGTTTTTTGTTTTCTATATATACTTTTTTGTCCAACGGTAAAACTTTTTACACAACGGTTTTTGAGAGTCGTCGCCGGTGACTTTTTTGTAGAGCACTCAAAATAGTATAACTTTGTCCGGACAAGTAAGGGTCTATCGTCGCTACAGGAAAAGTTACAGGCGTTCCAAGGAAGTATACTTTGAGAAGCCTTTTCTCCATTTTAAAACAAGATAGGACGGTTATTTTACAAAACTGACAACACTTTGACCGAGTAGTTTTTTGTGCTGAACAAAAGTGTCATATAAACATCTGTCAAAAACCGTTTTTTACTTCACTTAAAATGCCACGTAAGCTACGTAAGAATATACGTAAGAGGAAGGGAGCATTGAAACATCCAATAGTAAAACTGACACCACAACAACAGTTGCAACAACAAATGATGAATGACCCCACTATGTTGCAACAAATGTCAAGCAACCCTATGCTTTTAAACCGAGTTATTGGTGCACAGAGTGGAGGTTTAAGAGCGGCACTTTTAGCGAAAATGGCAGGCTATGGTGGAGCTGCAGACGGAACAGCTTATAACCCTCAAAGTCAAATGAATTTGAGTTCACTCAAAAATCAAATAACAGATGTCAAAAAGTCAAACATAGACATACAGAAACAAATAAATGAAAACGAAAAGAAACTAGAATATGACAGACACACAAAGAAACTAAATGAGTTAAACGTAGAGAAAATGAAGAAAGAAGAACAACTGAAAGAACTAAGTACAGAGGAATATGCGAAAAAAGTGTCAGAAAAAGCAGCAGAAGTAGCAAAAATGGAACAAGATGTTATAAATTTGAAAAACCATACTACTCAATATAAAGTACTGAAAGATGAAGAGATAAAACAAAAAGCCATGAAGACATATATGGATAGCGATGAGTATAAAAAAGAAGTTGAAGCAAATGTAAAGGCAGAAAAACTTTTACAGTTGCAAAACCAAACCGTACAGTATGAAAACTTAGCACAAGAAAGTAAAAATAACGACGCAGCCATGCAAAAGGCAATGAAAAGCGCAGAATATATAAAAGCTAATAATGACTGGTTAGATGCCCAAGCCAACGCTAAAGCAGCCCAACTTATAGGGTCAATAAGGACAAAAATACAAGCGGATGAAGACAGTTCAAATGAAGCTTTAATGAATGCTGACTTTAAGAATGCCTTCGAAGCTCTTCATAGTAAGGTGAAACTAGTGAACGACTTCTCATCTGGAAAGAAACTGAAGTCTGAAGGTTTCGACAAAGAGTTAAGAGAAGTAGCACAAAATATGACGAAAATAACAGATGCAGCAACGAGACAGGCAGTTCAAAGTGCCTATGACGCCGTTAGAGCAACTGTTGTGGAAAGTCAAGAAAAAGAGTTACAACAGACCAAAACAGACCTAGTAAATGCTTTCTTAAAAACGAAAAGTCAGGTAGGACATTATGCTGCAGATGGAACATATGTGCCAGCTGGTGGAACTTATATACCACCAAACCCTCCAAGAGAAGCACCTGCACCGGGACTACCTAAAACATTTACATCGTCACATGGACACAGACACAGGCATGCACCAAAACAACAACAACAACCAACAGTTCAAAATCCAGCACCACAACCAACAGTTCAAAACACTACACAACAACCAACAGTTCAAAACCCTGCACAACAACAACCACAAACAGAGCAAGGACATAAAAGAAGTAGAGAACAAGGAAACCAAGAATTCTTAAAAATGCTTAAGGAAGATTATGGTTACCCAGATACTCTTGACTTTAGTGACAGATATAAAGAAGCTATTAGAAAGTTCAAGGAAGGAAATACTGACCCGAACCTATTTAGCTTTATGGTTCAGCACCAAATGGGATATAATCTCAAACCTGGAAAATACAAGCTCGCTAAGGGATATGATTTAATAGCATATCATCCAAATGACATGAATGAATTTACTCCGAGATATTTGGTGTCAGAGCTAAATGATAATTCAACTCTCTTCATGAAACGCGTAAAAAATAGAGACGGAACGAAAGAAGAAAGGTTTATGAGTCCGGATGACTTAGATAGGGAACTTTTTAAAAACGGTCTCGGAATATATGAAATGCCAGCAGATGAGGTACAAGAAACTCACAGGAAGAAGTTCAGATACAACCAGACATGGAAGAAATAGTTCAGCAACAACAGCTAGAAGAGCCTGAAGGAAACGAACAAGTCCCTCCTTTGGAAACTAACTTCACAGAACTAGATGAAGATTTGGAACAGCCGAAAAATCTTGACCCTCAACAAGATATGAGGTGAATATGGAATCTTTCCAAGAGTCTAAGAAAAATTCGGCTGACAGAGTAGAAGAATATCGAAAAATGTTCACCGACATACAAAAGACTCCAACATCAGATGAAAATATTCAGCATAGAATGGAAGTACTGAAAGAAAATGTACGCAAATACAATAATCCTTTTTACTTACGACCATATAACGTTCAATCTTTGGCTGAACTCGGTGAAAATAAAAGGTTAAATTTCAACAAAACATATAGAAATGAAACATTGTTTAAAGTTCATTCAGAACCTAACCAATATGGAAACAAACCTACTTTTGTTTCTGCAGACTATGGAACTACAATGAGATGGGGTCATAAAGCTAATCCGGATAGGTGGTTCATAAACTTACAACCACAATTCCAAGAAGTTGTAGACGCAATGGAAGTGAATGGTGAACCAGATATAGCTGGTATTTTCAGCGCGGCTTTAATGCCATTGAAAGATATGAAAGATGCAGATATTTTGGACCAGTATGAAATGAACATGGCTGAGGGAAATATAACACCTGACGTTCTAGAACATTTATCTCAAAGAACTACACAGAACCATAGAGATGGTATATTTGGTGAAGAGTTTAGAAAGAAAGTTAGGGAGAGAGAAGGAAGAGAACCTATTGTACATGACCTTGCAAACGAAAGTTTGCAAAATGTCATAAAAACTTACTTTGCAGACAATGAACCGAGAAGGATGAATATTTAAGAAAACTCAAATGGACAGTACCAAATGAAATGTTAGTATTGAAAAACATGTTCCTTGACAAAATAAAACCAACTACAGAAATAAATGACGCAAGACTGAAACATTGGGTAAAAGCTTTCCCATTCACAAAAGATATTATTGGTAACATGGAAAGAAAACCAGAATGGCTACAAAAACATATATTTGGAAACGAGCTTATTCCATATGGACAAGCTCTGTTTGAAGAGCTTGAACCGGAAACTCAGGAAAGAGTCATGCAAACAATACGCGAAGACTCAAATACAAACTATGACAAAATCTTTCTAGGATATAGGTTACCTGAGATGGGCGACCAGAGCCCAAAGGCAAAAAGGACATGGGAAATTTACAACATACTAGGTGAACATGAGGCAAAGATGCAACAACTTGAAGCAGAGGGCAAGTTACCAAAAGCGACACCAAAGAAGAAGAGAAGAGTAGAACAAAGTGAAAGTAGTGAAGAAGTAACTTCATCTAGTGAAAGTAGTGGCAATGAAGGAAAAAGAAGAGTTAAAAACTCAGTCAGGAAGAAAGTAAAGCTTGGTACGAGTGGGTTCTATTATGACATATAAATCCAACTATTCTATATTTTTACCCATATGAAATGTACGCCGCTCAGAATATAACGCCAACAGTTTTGGATGCCATGAATGGAAATGTTTCCGAATGGTATAACGAATGCGACAATGCCATTAGAAGGTCAGAAATAGTTCCTGGAACTTACGAATATACAACTGCTGTTTCTTATGGAAACGTAGGTGAGTTTGGAGAAGGTTCTTCAACAACAGTAGATATTGCTTGCGACAGGTTTCATATTATTTCTATTGACAACTCATTCTTATACGTGGAACAAGACATTGAAATAAAACCTTCTGCCAAGTTGTCTGACAAGAAAGGTTGCAATGGAATTTTCTATGTCGGATACCAATATGCTCCAGAAGTTTTCATGGGATATAAGATATATTCTAACTCTGACTTAGTTCAAACAGTAACATGGGCAAACTATGAATGGTTCGCTTTGAGAAACTCAGTACAACCACAAGCTAGAGAACAAACAGACCAGTATGCAACTATTGAGAAAATAAGAAGACTTGACCCTAACGTTCCAGGAGTTTATGTTAACCTTTCTGGACAAACTGCAGCAGCAGTAACCAAAGTAAAACTGAAACTTAGAGTTCCTTTGTCATCTTTCCTCATCTTCAGGTTTTTAAGATACTTGCCAAACTGGGCAGGAAAAATTTCTATCGAACTTACTCCAAGCAAAAATAACTTAGTCATTGCACCAACACAAGACCCATTCACTCTTACAGACGTAAAGGGAACAAATAAACGTCATTCGCCGAATTTTGCAAAGACAAAGTTGACTTAGACTTTGGTTTCTCAAACCTCAACACTGAAGTAAACTATTATTTCAATGCTGCTGGATGCTTGGGACCCAGTTAAGTTCACATGCGAAAAATTTGAATGCAAGAGAATAGAAAGCAGACTTGCAGTCTATATGTTGGACCCAGATATTTCAAATGCTTTAGCTGCCAAATATATTGCAGTTCCACTTATGTTCCCTATACACCAAATATCTGTCAAAGACTTTGCAGGTGAAGTTGGAAACCAAAGTGCTGACCCAGGTGCAAGAACAGATATTGCTTTAACAACTGCAATGAAACATGCAGATACTATGTTTGTACTGTTCAGACGAACTATAAATGACTATTCTTGTTTCTACAACCCTGGTATTAAATATCATATAAACATAGATGGCAAATATTATCCAAGAGAAGAATATTCTACAGTTGAGGATATGAGGTCATACAACTTGACATTAGATGCTATGAACTTTAACAACAACTTCACAACAACTATTAACCCTGAAATGCAAAGTTCTATTATGCCATATGTGAAAGTATGGACTCATACAGGAGGTCAAAAAACTCAATATACAAATGGAGACCGTTCAAACTTTTGGCTTGGCATTCCATTTGCTGACTCAGAAGACTTTATGGGTGGTATTTCAACTGTTGGTACAGTTCAAATACAATATACTGGTGACAGAGACGGTCCAGATGAATTGAGAGCAAAGAAGTTTACAAAACCAATAGCACTTTTCACGGAAGATGCTCTTTTGAAGATTCGTTCGATGAAACCTGCTGGGGCTCCTCAGATTGGCATAACGACAGCTTCCATCGAGCAGATTTTGGCAGCAGGTCAGTAAGTTGTTCTTGAACTGACTTCTCTCCGTCAAATATTGACAGTACGCCAGTTTTGACATAATATTGTATTATAAACTTTCCTTTAGAAATATCTGTAAGTTTTGAAGTTATATTTTTGTCTGCTTCAAGAACTTTCACCATTTCAGTTATACCAACTTTCTTTGCTTTATGAAAATATTTAGGTTCAGCAAAGACTGCTATTCTATAACATTTTCCATTGTTTGTGTAAAGAACTATTCTGTCAATGTATTTGTATTGTTTGTGAGTATAAACTTTGTTCTGCTTCAATTCAAAGATATCCGAATACGTCCATCTTTTTATTCTAAGTAAAATGTCATTTCCGAAAAATAGAAGCGTAAGTGTTTCAAAAGGTTTAATGGCGGTGGCAGATGTGAAGTTAAATTCACCAACTCAAACAAACAG